GGGGATTTGAACATAAATAAGATGAACGTATAAGATAAGCTAGATGGGAAAGATTCATAGGTTTAAATAAAACTATAACATGGGTTGAATGATAGAAATTTGTGAAGTTATATGAGAAGATTATAAGAGCTATAAGAAATTGAATTAAGTAACAGATTAGATTATATAGAAATAATAGAAGTGAGATATGTTTATAGTCTGCCCTAGATGAATACGAAATATAAGAATGCTATATGATTTATATTAGGATAATCTTGAGGATATATATATATAGATAGAATGAAATGAATGAGTTATATGAATACCCAATTATGTGATGAAATGGTGAATTACCTGAACATGTGAATATATATGTTTAAGAGAAGGCATACGATTAAGATATAAGCAATGTGACTATAAGTATATGTGCTTTAAGTGATATGACTTATAAGTATTTCTATTATAATGTTACATGATAGTTATGTATGTTAAAGGAATTATGTGATGGTAAATTGATAGGAAATATATATGTGAAAACAAGTATATGATACGAGACAAAACTTATGACTATAAGCTACGTGAAAGTGTTCTAGTGTTCGATATATTATATGAAGTATATGATCTTATGTGAACAAGATATGATAAGTATGTTTATAGAATAAAGGTGATTGGGTGAGAAATGATAATTATGAAAACATGACATATGTGACATGTGAATTATATGGAAATGATCTACGGGTAAGTGAACTACGTGACTATGTGATCATATGAAAAGCTATGTGATACGTGATATGTGAAAGTGAATTACAAGTTTATGTGTATATTTGAAATGAAAGAAATGATAACGCCCATGTTATGTGTCATGAGAGCTAGGGGTATAGTTGGCATGCCAAGAGTCGAGGGTTTTCGGTTCTTAGGACATATGTATATCCTTTGGAACCTGTGTGAAGTCTTGAAAGACACATACTTGATCCATATATGTATATGATTCTTAAGGAATTCTACGTGGTCCTTATGGACATCATTCTACGGGCACTACGGTGCAATTCTACGGGCACTTCGGTGCAATTCTACGGGGCACTTCGGTGCATTTATACGAGCTGTGGTGACAGCATAGTGCACAACCTCTATAGACTCACATATCGATAGTTCTCACATATATACATGGGCTAATCCAGAGATATGAACAAATATAAGTTAGTGGTATGATAAATGCTATAGAACTTATATGTTGTGTGTATAGTGTTTGATTGAAAAAGTATGTGATTATATGATAACATGTGAATGATGAATTATGTGTATGTATGAATTTACTGCGATTAATCTGATATGATTCATACGATATGAAAAATGCCTGGACTTGCTATAACATGATAGAACAGAACATGCATGTATATATATGTTTTAAAGTGCATTATAAGTGGTTATGCCTCACTAAGTCTTCGACTTAGCGTGTGATTGTTTCACACGTAGGTTTCGAGAAGAGTAAGGAGTGATGCGGAGCAAGACAGGTCAGTTTTCCTTACCAAAAGATCAGATCAGAAATATTTGACAAAGTATGTTTTGGTTATGTAAAGTGTTGGCATGTAATAAGTCATTAAGTACGAGCACTCTGATAAGTCTGTATTTGTTTTAAATAAAGTTTTAAATTTCCCGGGATTTTTCTTAAGAGTCAAGGTTTGAAAAGTCAATGTGACACTTCGGACTCGTATCCGGGTCGGATACGGGTTGGGGGTGTTACACACACGGCTGAAAGCTCCCGGTGGGGTACTACGCCGATTGGGTGTTTGGTGGTTGCTGGTAGCGGTGATAGTGTGGGTGGGTGGGATTAGGGTTCAAAAACCCTAATTAATTTGAGTTAGATGATGGGCTTGGTATTGGGTCATCTGTGTTGGGTCTGGTGCTGGGCCGGTTCGGGTGGACTGAAGTAGGGTCGGATCTTGCAACTGGGTCTGTTGAGTGGGCTTCGGGTTGATGGGCTATTGTAATATGGGTGGGCTTGTGTAATTTTATTTTGGGTTCAATTGGGCCCTACAAAATGTAATATGTAAATTAATAATAATATTAAATTAATAAAATGTAGAACCCGGACAAAACAGGTGTCTATAGTATCGTAAATTGATTTTATGACAAGTTTCATTTTTTTTTGTTATCTGACTGAATGCTAAACGACATTGAACTTTAATGTTTATATTATGTTTGCACTTTCGTTTATTGTTTCTTCGGATTATGCTGAACTTTCTAACGCAGCCCTTCTTATGTCTTTTCTTCTTCTTCAGATTATCCAAGATGTACTGAATAAATGAAGAATGTGATGCCTTTAGTGAAAAGGGAAAGCTAGGTGCTCAAATGAAAACAAGGGAAAATATAAATGGCTAAGGGGTAACTAAATCATGCAATGATTATTTGAAAATGGTGAAAAGATGAAAGATTGGTTCCAATATTTTACCAATTTTGTTTTTGGTGAATAAGCTACTTAGGTGATAAATTCTTATAATATTTCTTTAATTTGTCTTAAGTAAACCATTTGGAGAGGGTTTTCTCCTATTAGCCATGTGGTTAAATGAGCAAAGAGGTAAGCCTTCTTCATCTTCTTCCACGCCAAAACCACTATTGAAATCACCCTAAAAGCTCAAAACCCTAAATACTAAAATTAGAGATTAAGTAAATCTTCTCATCCAAATCACATTTTGATTACAGATTTGGTAAGATCTCATCCTTGGATTTCAATTGGTGATCTTCATTTTTAATTTAAAGAAAGTTCATCTGAAACCCTAAACTTGAATTAAGGGATTCAATTATCTTAAAGGGGTCACAAACATTCATTGACTTAGGAACGCTTTAGAGCCAGGAAAGTGAATCCACTCGAGTTGAATTTCCACTTCACCCACACTCCACGTTCGTAATCTGAGGACAAGGTCTTGGACGATCTTCCCTTCGTTCAAGTATACGGGACTCTCCTCAGCCAGGCAGTTGGAGGTGCTGGTTGTAATCTTGATAGCACGGTTCCACTTGGGATTTCTTCCAAATTGGTATGTGTTTTCAAGGCTTCTATATATGGCCTAACCTCAAATTCAGTGTCTACCATTTTTTCATCCTTAGTAAATGCGTCATGGTCGTACACGGTCTGGAATCATGTACAAATAGGTAAACAAAGGAATGCCTTAAGGATCAAGTTATGGTATATAGTAATCAAGAGACTGATAAATCGTCATTCCACTCAGGATTTACATCCTTCTTTACTACACGACTCTTGAGTCTCTGCACACAAAAAATAGATATATTAACATTGCTATGAAGGTGAAAATTATAGTGAAGAAGAAGAAGAAAAAGACTTGGTGGCCCATCTTAACAACAACGTAAGGGTCACTACTTCGGACATCCCGAACAGCAAGGTTTACGCCTCGTTTGACATGGACCCGCAGCAGACCCATCAAGTTGTCCATCAGGTTGAGAGAAAGTGAGAAACTTCTTGCGGATGTAGCTTGAACAAATGGAGTTTTGGACTTTGGATTGTGGATGGACACAAATGCATAGAAGGGGATGAAGGGTTTATATACGAGGAGGCTGACCGAGAGATGCGGTACCTGCTTGCCAAATGATTGAAAGGGAATTGGTCATCCGATAATGATGCTTCTTCGATTCATTTCCCACAAAATTTTATATATTCATAGTTTGACTCAAACTTATTCCAATATTTTTTAGAAAAAAGTTCACGCATTATATGTTTGATTAAATTCATGTCTCATTTAGAGATACATTATTTATATTTTGATTTGGTTTAATATAAATATTTTCAAATTTTATCTAGGTTCATTTTTATAATTGAAGAATTTAAATACATTCGTGTTATCTTTGTTGATGGGACTAAATGAGTTATAGCAGTTATTAGCGGTTGATCTCTTCTGGTTTGGGCAAAGAGTTGCAGCCGATAGAAAATCAATCAAAATCCTTCTCCATAAGGAGGTGGATCATAGAAGGGTTAAGGTGAGGTGATTTCATGAAGGTTGTTTCCCATCTCTCGTTCGTACTCGAGAGGTTATATAGAGATACGTTAGTGTGTGTTTTCAGTTGTAGGTTTATAATGGCTATTTGTAGGCTGACATGTTAAGTAGATAAAATCAAGTGCTAGTGAATTTGTTTTAGTAGCTCATAATGTTATCAATGCATAACTATAAACCATTAATCTTGTACATGTCGTATGCAAATAATGTTTTGGAACTTTATCAACAATCTTTGAATGATAAAGGGAAAAATGGAAACAAATTTTATTTGTGAAAATGGTGAAGATGATCATGACCTTGTTGGAAGTGGTTGATCTTTTAAATTTTATTGTTTTAAATACATTTTCATATTTTTTATTCCTTGTTGGTATTTATTTTCTTTGAAATAAGATTAATTCCCAAATACAATTTATGATCAATAATGAAGAGTTATGCTCAGCAAACGATGTAAATGTAACATAATATATTTCTTTTTTTCACACTAAGCCAAAGATGTTACGTACAAATAACAAGGAAAAATATTTTTTTCATATATATAATTTCAAATTCTATAAGCATATAAAACTTCATATTAACCCATGCGTTGACGAGCCTCATAATGTTCATACTAATTCTAATGACATGTAAACTCACATACACTATTTATAGATTGATAACAACGATACATATGAATATTAGGCGATGCATATGTTAATAATGGTCCATGAGGAGGATGTACGCTCCCACTTATATCACCCTATATACAATCTAGAAAAGTGATAGGTTCATAATTTATCTTAGTTTATGATGGTTGAATGATTAATTTGCTACGCAAGTGTCACATGAAAAAAATCATTTAAAGAATATGTTGGCTCTGCAATAAATTTTTAAATAAATTATCAATAATTTTTCACATCATAATTAAACTGAGATGACCTAATAGAACATGTCAAATTATAAAGCTAACAGTTTCACCTCTTCTTAAACCAGCTTTGATTTTATTCTCAAGGTTATAGTTATTTAAGTAAGCAACATCTGTTAATTACATCACACTGTAACCAGTGATTATCGTTTGTTTTCTACATGTTTGACCAAGATAAATACATATATTAACTTTAAAAGAATCCACTTGTATTCATCGAGGCCTTAACGAGGATAAATATTTAAAAATTATATTAACTTAATACTTATTGATAAGTAAATTTTGTCTCACTGTTACTTCTTTAATTGATGTTATCAATTTATTATGATTTGCATGCTAAAATGTTATCAGTTGTATCATATAGATGAAAAATATAAAACAGTACATATATGCCATGGTTATAGCCCATAAAATTAAGGTGGTTGCTTCTAAGACAATGGAAGAATCGAAAGGAAACTTAAAGTTATAAGCCGCTTCTCAAGTTTTTTATCCATGTTAATTTCATCAAAATAGAAAGAAAAAAAAAACTGTAATATTATGTGATTTTCTTAAAAAAAATAGTAGTTGAGCGATCAAAATAGAAATTAAATAATCGGAGAGTGACTAAATATGTAATTTACTATTTTTAATTTAGTCGTTCAATTGAACCGATTACTCGGTCCGGTTTTACACATGACCCAACCCAAATTACAACGTTGCTTTTGCCATCTCTCTCCGTCTTTCTTTTCGATTTTTTTCCTCTCTTTTAAAACTTCATTTTTCTTATATTTGAATGCTCCGAATATTTTTCTCTTGGTTCTATAGATCGAAAGGTGGATTAAGAAATCGAGCGTGGTTGAGGGATCTGCACTTAATTAGATCGTGATCGAAAGGAATTAGTGTTTTGGATTTGAGACTGAGGGAATTTAGGGTTTGGATAAGGGTCAATTTGGGAGGTTGCTGCAGGGTAGGGTTTCGAATTGGTGAAAGACGGGGCTGTGCGACAAATTAGAAAGGGAAAAAAGGAAGATACTAATAAGGAGTGGGGTATTGATGGTACTAGAAGGTGAAAATGCAAGGCTATGTATGGGCGGGGAGGAGGTGAGGAGAGGAATAAGGTACGGCACATGTGGACAGTCCCTACACGTGCAACGGCGGTTATAAGTCCTGATGATGGTGCTTATCCCTCTTATTCTTCTTCATCTACTGTTAATTTCTTTTCGAAGGTATAGCTTTCTAAATAAAATTTTGCAATTTTTATTGGATTTGATCCCATTCAGAATTCCTTCATTTTTCTAGGTTTCTTGTTTTGTTTGTTTATGTTTTTGCCTTTTTATTAGGTGATTAGATAAGAAGGGTTTTGTCAGACTGATTTTGGTGAAATGAAGAAAATGGGGATTTTTCTTGGCTGCTTGATTTTGGGTGATAGAGTTGAACTAGCCCTGATGTAATTGGTATTTTTGGCTTGTTTGTGGAATTTGTAGAAGGTTGTTGTGCTCGTTTGGTGTAAAATTTAGGTAAGGAATGGAGTTTTTAATTGTATTGGTAGGAATGCGTTTAACTTTTGATGTTTTGGGTGGCTTGTCCTGGTGAAGTGCATGCGTAAGATTAGTAAGCGAATGCTTCCTTGGGCCAATTTACAATTTCGTGAAAGAATCATTTGTGTGCAAAATCCAATTACACGAATTATATATTTTCCTTTTGACTATATCAATAGTGTCTATTGAACTTTCTGGAAATCTTCAATGCGTTCTTGGAGGAATAGTTGCTCAGCTTTCCGTATGGCGTTTTTACTTCTTCCAAGCAGAGGGGAATTCCTGACGGAAAGTGTTTGGGAGATGAGAAGAGATGCTTAGTTTACTGATAGTTTAATCCAAGTGCACCTGAAAATTGGAAATTTGCATACGTTCAAGGGTGACGTGAATTAATCATTGGCTTTATTGTTCAGATTGTTTGAAATGTTTCCAATTTTTGGGGCAGCTTGCAATCTGAAATTAGTCAATGAGGAAATAGTTTCTGGTTTATCAACTGGAGGCAGAGAAGTAATCAACAAGGTTTATTGTTGTTCAAAATATTCAAAACTTTCCTATTATGAATTATTTGAATCATGATGAGTATTCCATTTGGAAACAATTTCTGTTTCATTGTTTTAGAGAGGGTGAATAGAAAAGTATTACGTTGTGAAGATCAATTACTCTTGCTAGACTTAGATACCCTTCTAAATTATATAGGAAGAAATGCACTACCTTTGATGGATTAACCTAGAAAACAAGTCTTATTTCCTTAGATACTACTAGTAACAAATCTTTTTTAGTATTTCTCGAATTTTCACCTTGTTGGAGATGCTGGCTGCATTATATGTAGTTTTCAGGGTGTTATTGCTCCCGTATTTGGTCCTGGATATGGTTGCAATATGTGAACTTAATTAATTATTTGCTGTCAGGTTTTGGGGTTTGTTCATATAATCCAAGTGATGTGAATTCCTTGTAATGTGGCTTGTTCTATGTAAAAAGGGTTTTTTGTGTCATTTAGTAGCAAGTATATAGGTATTCCCTTAGACAGGTGTGGTTTGACCTGCATCTACATTAGTGAGAAGGTACTTGATTTTTGTTATGTCTTCTGAAATGATATGGTATATATTTCAGTCGTATAATGTTTCTAGCATATAATTGTCAAAAGGTAGTTGAGAAATGTTTGTCATTTCTTCAATAAAGCCATATATGATTGTAATGGATCATGAAGAAAATGCTTAAACATACCCAAAGATTTCCAGGTGATTTGCATTATATAATAGCATGCTTCCTTGATTGTTATCGTTTAATGTTTCCTTTAATGGGTATAGTATGCTTTGAACCTATATGGATTAGTCTAACTTGGTTCTTCTAATGGTGAAGTCTGGTGAGCTGGGAATAATTTATGTGCGCTTTTCTCTTAGATTTTGTTATAGTGCATCTAATGAGGAATCTGTTTCAAGAATTTGTTCAGAATCTGACTGGTCATGCTCTAAATGAGGTTAATTGCATCTTTATTTGTGCATCTGCATATATAAACCCTTTTATTCCCCTAACAAAGCTGCTGAACAATTGAATGGTTTGCTAGTTGCTAGCTAAGGGTGTTTGTTTGTGTTGTCTGTGTCTCTTTCATATTACCATTTTTATTTGAGTTAGTTTGCTTACTTTAAATATGGGCATGACAATTGTTTTTTTTAAAAATAACTGTTGAATACCAATCTGTTGATCGAACTTATTAATTTTAATACAAAATTGCTGTATATTTTTACTGAAAATTTTTGCCTTCCTGGATTATTGGTTCAGTAGTTTACTGACATTCCCTCTTTTACCCTTAACAGGATGGACGCAAGATCAGTGTTGGTGACTGTGCTCTCTTCAAACCAGCCCAAGATTCTCCACCTTTTATAGGAATAATTCGTTGTTTAATTTCTGGTAAAGAAGATAAGTTAAAGTTGCGTGTGAATTGGCTTTATCGACCTGCTGAATTAAAGCTTGGCAGAGGCACCCTGTTCGAAGCTGCACCAAACGAAATCTTTTATTCCTTTCATAAG